AGGGTTTTAAGTTGGACAGCCATTTGTCTGGATTGCTATAGGTCTTCTGTTTGAGCAGGGGGTTGGATTACAAGACTACCAAGGTCCCTTTCAACTGTTATTTTGTATTCATGGCTTCTGTCAACTCATCAGGGAAAATACTGTTTGGGTATGAGGTAGCATTGCAACAAGATTTCTCTTCATTCTGGGCAGCCCCATCTTCGCACCAAATTGGCTTCCTGGGAAGACACTTGGTATTGCTCCTTTGAAAAGCAGTGGTGTCAGTAGGAACTGCCAGGCCAACCATCTCTCCCGGTGTTGTACGGTGGATGGAACTACTTAGGGCTAGATGGGCCTGGCATGGACCACCGCACCACAAAATGAAAAGGGAACTCAACCTGTCAATTCAGGTCTTACTGATGGGAAGTGAAGCGCAACAGCCAAGAAGCCATTTTATATCTCTGTCCTACTCTCCTGACCTACCTGAAAATGACAGCTGCTTGAACTGGCCCTTCTTGTCATTTGCAAGGGTGAGCAAATGTCAAAATATATCTAATGACATCACACAAAGGCTACTGTGTGTCATTTTGACATCACTGTTGTTTGCTGAAGCTGTTGCTGTTTGCTTCCTGGGCATGTTTTGCTCTGAGGATTAGACAAGCCAAATTAGGTTAGGTACACAGAGCTGATCTGATACAGGATATGGGAGATTCCATTCTATATCCTATAATGGGTGTCTCTGCATTTGTGGAGCAGCAGAAGTAGAAGATCTGGCTCACATCTTATTTGATTGTTGCCTGTATAAGGTGAGAGACAGGTACCTTGGTCTATATACTAAACCAGTGGTAGTCAACTTGATCCCTACCTCCCACTAGTGGGCGTTCCACTTTTCATGGTGGGCGGTAGGGGTTTGCTGTAACTGCTTTATAAATTTTATAAAGTTACTTCCCTACTTTATAAATCACCATTACTGTGGGACCAGTGGGCGGTTAGAAAATTTTACAGAGATACAAAAGTGGGCGATAGGTATAAAAAGGTTGACTACCCCTGTACTAAACGAATGATACATTGGGATTCCCATATCAGAATAACTTACCTTATGTGCGGCCAGAATCTGAAAATAACATTTCACACAGCACAGTACTTGAGTAAAATGGTTCGGTTCAGATCAGCATTATGGGATTGATTGAGGTAGATTGTAGAAAATTATAGAAATATAATTTTAGCATATTTTATTTATCTACCACTATATATTAAATTATTGTACTTTATTCCAATTTTATTTTAAATCATATTTTATTTGTTCCATTTTAAATACTTTTTTATCAGATATTAGTAATAATTTGTGTCTGGAATTCTACATTCTCTCCTTGGATATGCACAATTCATCCCTATCTGAATATCAGCCCTATCAATATAAAAGCCAGTGAAATTAGTTTTGGACTCAGGTAATTGTCCAATCTCTCCTCAGAGATTGTTTTTGAAATTTGATACTATACCTACATAAGAGTTATGCATACAAGACTCTGTATACTTTACCCTATTGAATTATTGCCGACACCTTGGGTTTGAGACCTGAGTGCCATATGACGGGGTGAGCTCCCAATGCTTCTAGCTCCTGTCACCTAGCAGTTAGAAAGCATGCAAATATGAGTAGATTAATAGGTACCAGTTTGGTGGGAAGGGAAGTATTTTGTGCACTTTTGGCATATAGCCATGCTGGCCACATGACCACAGAGATGCCTTCGGACAACACTGACTCTGGCCAGAAAACAGAGATGAGCCCTGCACTGTAGAGCCAGACACAACTGGACAGGGAAACTTTACCTTTACTTAAATCCTTTCATTTTACAATTTATTTGACATATGGTAGTACATCTTATGAAACAACCCCGAGTAGTTCGCAGCACTATGTTCGTTATACTATCCCCTTTTGATGATAAACATACTTTTCATCCTCATCCCCCTTAGAATGATTTGAACAAGTATCAACCCATTCCAGCTTACTGCAATCTTCATTAGCCTATCATCCCTATACCTATATAGGAAACTATAGGTATTTAATGATTTAAGAGCCATGGTGGCACAGTCATTAGAATGCAGTACTACAGGCTACTTCTGCTGATTGCCGGCTGCCAGGAGTTCGATTCTGACCGGCTCAAGGTTGATTCAGCCTTCCATGGTGGGTAAAAAGAGGACCCAGATTGTTGGGGGCAATATGCTGGCACTTTAATTTCTTAGAGAGGGCTATAAAGCTCTGTGAAGCGGTATAGAGGTCTGCTATTGCTATTGAACATTTATCAGTTAAAACCAGATAAATGTGGTGAAATGTATCTAGAATGCATGTATTCAAGTTGTATGATAATCACCTTTAGTCCAATGGTGGCTATTTTGAGGCCTCTCCTATTTTGTCTAATTATAGCATCCAGCACCACTTTAGTTGTGGGTGTTGAGAATTATAGTTCAGTAGCATCTATCAGGCCATAAGTTTCCCACTTTTTAGTCTTTATAGCAAAGCTCTCAATTCTGGAAACACATTTGAACATATCCAGATTCCAAAACAGCCTGCACTGTTGCGGTTATTCTCTGTGTCATAACTATGAACAATTCTGATGAGATGTACTGAAGACTACAATGTGTGAAGCCTATCATGTACTTGTAAATAGGTTACAGTTTTACTGCAAAAGCAGCCACTGATAGAAAGGTCAATAGCTAAATATAGATGCCATGAAAAACATTGATCTACCCCTTGCAATTACACTGAAGCTCATCAATTTTGCAACTCTGTTTTGTTAAATACCCAAGGCTGATTTTCATTGTCTAATATATCACTGATCAACGGATATTAAAACATGGGCACTTGTTGAAAGAGGTGACCTGTATATAGTTATAATTGGAACAGCTGTAAGCAGCTATTTATGGATTTTCCCCCTATTTGTGCAACTAATGAGAAGGGTCAATTTGCTGACAGTTCAGATTACAAGTGAGGAATATACAACTAAGTCATTATTCTTTACATATAAGCTATGTTTTTTTCTAGCATATTATTACTATACATCAAAGAATTATTGTGAAATATATGTAGACAAACTTAAGATTTTCACACAAATCAGTTCTAGCAAACTAATACTAACAGCAATTCTGAGTAAACTTTGTTTTCATAGTCAACATTACACTTAATATAAGACAGATAAAAATTAGCAGTATCCCAATTCTAAAACCCCATTATTTATTCCAGAAGGTCCTAGCAAAGAAATCAGTTTTATCAGCTTAATGGTATAAATGGTATTTGTAGTAATGGCTTAATATTCCAGTATAAATTTATACTCCTATATAAGGAGGTAAAATCTAAAACTATAAAATATATCAAGTAAAGCTAAACCTGAGTCTCTCATATATATATAAATATTGTAAATATATATAATATATAAATATGTATTATTTTGTCTCTGTCTTTAAGGTATGTCTATATTTACATATATAAACATATTTTAAAGACAGGCAAAATAAAGCAAATCAGTAGTAATCTTTCTTGCTTTTTCCCTTATGTTTTGATGCATAACTATTTACTGGTAAAACATGAGTAATATACAATCTATTTAATATTCAGACTCATATATATAAAATTCTAGCTTTGGAATATGCATGTCCAGAAAGTATTTGTTCTAACATTTAACATTCAGTTGTTCATAAAATCACAGGCTGTTTTTTGTGCAGGGAGGAAAAGAAGAAAAAGACACACCACAATGTTTTAAAGGGTTATTTATGACACAAACCTGAAATATATTCAGATGTGCTAAGTTATAAAATAGGTATCAAAACATTCAATTACACAAACATTCAGTTATTAACAAATTCATTCATTTCATTTGGAAGAACAAAATCAGACAATATACAAAGCAGAAACTTAAATTTAGGACAACACAAATTTACTAACATAAAAATATACAAACTCCAATTCAGAATGTTTTCTTGGGATGAAGGTATACGAGCACCATTATTTACATAAGAATCTATAATTTAAACTTCAACTGTCAAAAGATTAGTATCTTACTCCAAAGATAGTAAACTGGGATTTTATACTGGATCTAAGTTTGGTTGTAATAATAATAGTTACCACGCAGTGGCAGATATTGCATGAACAAGGAATACAGTGAGTCTTAGACAAATGAGAACCAACCACCCCAAATTAGGTATGAAATTGCAAACACATTACACTCTCCATATTCACTACAGTATTCAATAGTTGAACTGTTCTATGTAACTCAATGCACAAAGCCAAAGTGCAAAGTTAAAAAGGATGATACTCAATTCCTCATTCTTTTGAATCCTGAAGCAACATTGACTCGAATATTAGGCAAGATTTTCAGTCTCTTCCTTCCAAAATATATTTCCATGTATAATAAAAGACCAGAACGAGTCTTTTGTCAATATATAGACCACTGCATATTTGCAAGTCCATATAGAGAGAATCGGGAGAAGGGAAGAGGAGAAAATCAGAATCCCTGATTTATAGATGGGTCCTTAGTTCTAAAATAGATTTTTCTTTTAAAAAGTTGTACCGTCAGTCATTACAAATCCACTTTATTATCTGAAGAGGTGAACTCGTACCATTGCCATATACATTTAACATTTAAGGTGTTTTGAGCTTTTAAGGAAAACAGCCTTCTCCAACCTTGTTGCCTCCAAATGTACTCTAGAAGGCAGCAACGAGTTGCAGAAGAACTTACTTGTCCCAGTGCCCGCATATTACGGTAATAAATGTTTTAACTAAACTGTACATGTTTCCAGAGACAAAATTAAATTTCAGAGTTTAATTAGGACAGCCTTTTCAAGCAGCCTTTTGACAAGCCTATTTGCTTGAAAAAAAGATAACAGCAATAGCACTTAGACTTATATACCACTTATAGTGCTTTACAGCCCTAAGCGGTTTATGGAGTCAGCATATTGCCCCCAACAATCTGGGTCCTCACTTTACCAACCTCGGAAGGATGGAAGGCTGAGTCAACCTTGAGCCTGTCAGGATTGAACTGCTGGCAGTTGGCAAATTTAACCTGCAATACTGCATTCTAACCACTGCGCCATCATGGCTCTTATACCTGCCTTACTTGGGAATCTAAGTTGGCAAATATTTTAGAATACAATGTAGCTAGTCAAGTCATTTGGTGTTAGGTTAGAACTGTTTAACAAAATTGGAAAAATTTGGAGGGGGGGGGGGAATCTGTTGCTTTCTGTTCAGGTGAATTAATGTCCCACCCGATTATTTCTAAGGTTTCCTGGGAAAAACTGGGATGGCATTCTACACTGTGAAATTCCGTAAAGAAATGCTACGTACCACATTTTTAATTGTGAGCAATAGTTAAGCTACTATACATTGTATCAAAAAAGGCTACAATTAGGACTTGACAGGTATTATTAATACAATGAGGTGCATTAATTTGCAAGCCATGATTAGAAAGCCATTCTCAACTGGGTTGGCTCAAATTTCAATAACAAGCTGACTTTGGGTTAAAAATATTTTTCCAACTAGTTTTCGTTCATGCATGAGTGCGAGAAAAGTCGGATAAATCAAAACTCTTCATGCTAAATAATGCAATCTTGGGTTCTAGTCTTTTTCTCTCCCTTCACTCCAGATGTTTCTGACCCCCTTTGCAACTTTCCATCCCAAACCATATGTATTTCCATCTTAAGATTTGTGGCATTCTAGGTAGTAAACGCCCTCTATTTTACTAAGAGGCTCAGTTTCTACAGCCCAGAATGATTGACTGTACCATTTAAGATTCAACAGACTTGTGTCTATAATTTTAAATGCTTTTGTTAAACAACATTTACTGTCTTAAAACAGCTTATTGGAGAGAATTTGTTCTCTAAGTTTCTCCCCAGTGTGCTTGTTTACTGTACATTGTCATATGATGGTAGCAGTGTACCTGTGCTCAAAAATGTGATTTTATCCTATACTTGGTATCTTCCATACTGATGCACCTTTATCTTCCCTCTTATTTTGCAAGATCTCTCTCTCTCTCTCTCTCTCTCTCTCTCTCTCTCACTAAAACTGGCCAAAGTTACACTAAAAAAAGTAGAATGGACATTAATCACAATATCCAAGAAGTAATTTTGTTCACTGGCAAATATCACACGTATACACAGACACTTTGATTTATATCACAATATTGCTTAGGAAAAAAAAAACAACAACCTGACAGCCACTGACTCCTCTTATAGTCTCAAGAAAGTTCATATTTTAGCATCTGAATGCTTAAATCAATGTATTGTCCAAGTGTATAAAAACGGCATCTACCCAGCACACTGCTAAACATTGGCCTTTATAACATTGGCGGTTTGAATGTGCATTTAAAAACCAGGTTTGTGAGGAACATCACAGTGACGAAAAGCTTGGAAGAACCTTTTTTTTAAAAGAAGTTAGTTTTTTTTTAACAGAAGTTAGATATGCTGAGTTTCATTGGCTTAATTTAGGTAACGACAGCTATACTTCCCGAGACATTTACATGTCAGTAGCATACAGGAAAGATAATATATGAACACTTTGTTATAAATAAAAGAGTTATTACTTTCAGGCTACAGAAAGCAGTAACAGAAACATATAGCTCTGGAAGCTACATGTCAGAATTACTGCCATTAAATCAATGGTTTCACTCAACCTCTGAGGGACACGTTAAAATGAAGACTGTTTTGCCATGTAGCTCCTTGTTCAACAAGTGCAATATTTCATTTAAAAAGAAAGCAAAACTGAATAATCAACATAGAGAACCTTCCCAGAAATGATAGTGCAGATACGTTAATTTTTTTCCTTATAGCACAAGTAAATAAAGGCAAAAGGATAAATTGCTGCTTAAGTTCAGAATTTGCCACTAAGTAACGTAACTTTAAAAACAAGAAAGAGAAAAAGGGAGACTGGTACCAGCCCAGCCTTAGGCACATCCTTCTTCTTCCCCTCCCCAAGTTTTTATGGTTCGAAATGTCTTTTTTTTTCTGAAGCACTAATTAAGGAATGGAAGTGTTGCTCTTTTAAGTTTGAAGGAGAGGGGGGAAAAGAGAGTAAGGAAATGATAAAGTAGCAGTGGCAGGCAAGAAGAAGAAATTGTTTCCAGAAAACAAAAAGTTAAATGAAGAATAATTAGCAACTTGAGTGGCAACTGGATGCAAAATCATTTGTGCTTTAGTTTCTCAAACAAAAATTTCCCACTTCTGCCACTTCTCACACTGTATTGTATTTTCCACTTTGATACTTCCATGAAAATCCCACCATCGGACTCCCTGCCAGGAATATTCTTAACACAGTTTGATCCTGTCACCTAGGCGAAGCCGGGTATCGATCTCCAAATCCACCTAAAAACTGGTGCTTTTGTTGTAATGTAGCTCTCGACTAGGACTGTTGTGTGAGACGACGGAAGTGAGGTAACACTTGGTTATCGGGAAGGTAAAGAGCCAATTCCAAAGCCACAAGAACAGTAAATTCAAATCCGATGAGATCTCGTCTGTTGAATCGGAATCGTTCTTCCAACTTCTGTAAAGGCAGAAAACAAATAAAATAAATTACAGCACCATGTTTTGCATCCTTGCTTACAACAGTCTGCATATTTGTTCGGCATACAAAACCAGAGCTACCGTAATTTTCGGAGTATAGGACGCACCAAGATTTTGAAGTGGTCAATTACAAAAACGTTTTTGCACTCTGCACGCCTCGTGCTTTGTGAAAAACGGGGCATGCAGAGAGTTTGAGAGGCCCGCAAAGTGCTCCAGGGAGCTGAAGGGGGGCAAAAATGGGCAAAAAATGGCTAGTTTTTCACAAAAGTGGGCCTGTTTTTTTGCAAAAAGCAGGACATGCATTGGCTTTGGGCAGCTCGTAGAGTGCTCCCGGAGGCTGGGGGGGTGGGGGGAAACAGGCCACAAATGGCCCATTTTTCACTCATATTTGCCCATTCCAGCCCCCAGAAGCACTCTACAAGCCTCCCAAAGCCAATGCATGTCCATTTTTGCAAAGGGGCGGGGTTTTGGGAGGCCAAAAATGCTGTATTCAGTGTATAAGATGCACCCAGATTTTCACCCTCTTTTTTGCGGGGAAAAAGTGCATCTTATACTCCGAAAAATACAGTATTTTAGTGATAACATACAGGTAATCCTTGACTTACAACTATTTGTTTAGTGATCGTCTGAAGTTACAATGGCATTGAAAAAAGTGATTTATGACCGTGTTTCACACTTGCGACGGTTACAGCATCCCTGTGGTCATGTGATCAAAATTCAGGGGCTTGGCAACTTTGATAGACTCCAGTATTCTCTAGGAGAAAATATTTTCTGTATGGAGAAGCACTGAAGTATGTAAAAGCACACCACTTTCTTCAGGGAGAGTAATTTTCAAGGACAAGAGATGACTAGTTGTAAGTTATATCACTGGAAGGATGGACGTCACTAGCAGGGGTGGGACTGGCCCTTGTAAATGCTTTAAGAATAGGGAAGACTTGAAGACGTGAAGGAAGACTTCTGGAGATAAACTGTTCCATTTTGATCTTTAAAAATCCACTCATCCAGCAGAGCCAAACTAACATACAGTACCACGAAAATTTAGTGGAAAAGCAGAAACATTTTCGTGATCTGATTTCTCGCCATTACTGATAAATATTTCTCTCTCTCTCCCTCCCTCCCTCCCTCCCTGTAGTTAGAAATTGGAATGGTTTGTCTCCTTCTTACCCTGGAGTAGGGATTAACATTTTGCCATTGAATTTCAATGGCCTCATTTCCATGTTGCCTGTGGGCTGCCATTTCTGACTTGCGCAGTATTCTGAAAAGTCACAGCCTGAAGGCCAGACAGATTTAGCTGCCCAGTGAGAGGAACATCAAATGGTTACATAATACGATAGGAGACAGTGAGATGGTCTTCTGCAGAACTTACACGTTTGCAATTGCCATACGTTGGCTTTGCTGACGTTTGTTACAAGGGAAGTTATAGAACTAATGACATCGCTTCAGGAGGATGACAGACCCTGGTGCTGTTTTCTGGGAAAGAACCAGTGGTGGGATTCAAATAATTTAACAACCGGTTCTCTGCCCTACTGATTGGCTGGGTGGGCGTGGCCATGGTAGGTGTGGCCAGGGGTGTGACAAATAGCACTTGGCCTCCTGGGAGCAAAAATGGGCCACAGTGGGGAGGGACGCTCTGCGCCCCCCTGCCCCCCATTTTGGGCCTAGTAGGCCTCCCTGTACTTGCCCAGGAACCAAAATAGGGCACGTGGGGGATTCCTAGAAGGGGCGGGGCAGGGAGTGTCCAGCCAGCAATTTAACAACCGGTTTAGCTGAAGTGGTGCGAACTGGCTGAATCCCACTACTGGAAAGAACCAAATTGCCTGGTACTTGGCCCATCAACAATAATTTATTATAAGGTAAATGGAGTGTAGTAATACATCGAAGGGCAACAAAGAGATAGTTTCAATCCCATTTATTTGAGAATAAGTCTCACTGAAAAGAGCAGGGCTTATTATCAGAAGGCATGAATAGAACTAGGATGCATGGGGGAAAAAATAACTCTAGTGCCAGACGAAGAATAGAAAAAGAAATTGCTTGATGCCATTATCAGCAAGGTAACAGAAGAAGAAAATTAAAAAATGGTGCATATGAACAAATGGCTCTGCTGCAGAGAAATTCAAATTATTTTGACAATAATCAAGGAGACTCAGTCTCAGTACAATTTAAATCTGGTATCATTTCCCATTCCAAGCTAACGCAATCGTTTGACTGCTGATCCATTAAGTAGACAATTTGGGGGTGGTAGTTGCAGAGACAACATTATTACTATTATTTTCATCACAATCCTGACATCCAAATGGTAGCTTCAAAGCACTGCCAACAATTCCACCCTGTCGCTTTCCGATTTTTCTCCTGCATTTACAGTGACAACCACGTGCAGGCTATTCGTACTGCAATTACTTAAAACTAACTTTGGATTTCCAGTCTCTTATCAACATGTATAGATTTCCATTCAATGTTTTTTTTGCAAGTCTGCAAAGATTTATGTATCAAGTGTATTAAAAAAATTATCATAAATGTAAATGTGATTTGTGTATCAAAAAAAAAAATCATTTGAGAACTTTAGGGTTTTCAAAGAGCTGGGGACCCCGGGAAATATTCCAGTCGTACTTACATCAATTAGGTGTTTGACTTCGTGTTTCCTGAGATCACTGCTAATCTTGGCTGCGAGCAGCACACAAGCACCGGCACACAGTTTTCGGTTCTGTTTGTTGAGCTTGCCTTGCAGGACGAGCTTCTCAAAGTAGACGTAAGCCATGGACACAGTAATTGGCTCCAGGTTGCACTCCATACTCAGGGTCCGCATTTCTCTCTTTAAACTGCAAGGGAGAAGGTAGTGGACAAGAATCAAAGCTCATTTTCTTTCTAGGCGGACGAGAGAAACTTCAGAATTAGGTGAAATACGTATGCCAGGCCTGGAAGCCGTTTTTTACATTTGGGCCTTCAGGGCTGCCACATTTGCTACGGTGGGAAAATGGGAAGGGGGATTATATGGAGTAGGGGGAGATATACAATCAAAATAACATTCTTTTCTCAGAGAGTCAAGGACGTCTTGCCCTGCAGCTGCGATGATGTGACTGGGAGGCATCTCCAGTTTTGGATGGTGCCTGATTGGATCTTGTGGTAGACATATGGGTGCTGGGCGAGGACTTGAATTTTCACTTGGGTGGGGAAAAACTGGAAGCTTTCAGATTCGGGTTTTCCCAGATGTGCCAATATGACATATCTAATAAAATGGAACATTGCGGAAACTCAAGCTTTGGAGTCTTCTTTCATTGGGGGTGTTACTTGGAACCCTGACAATGTATGTTTTAAAGCACGGGGTCTCCAACCTTGGCAACTTTAAGACTTGTGGATGAACAACATTTTAGTTAAGCTGAAACTGCTAGACACACTCTGTGAGGTTTCTTCAATCAATCAGAATAGAGCTGGAAGGGACCACCGAGGTCTTCTAGTCCAGCCCCTGCTCAATGAGGAGACCCTAGACTATTTCAGTCAAGTGACTGTCCAGTCTCTTCTTTAAAACCTCCAGTGATGGAGAATCCACAACTTCTGAAGGCAAGCTATTCCACTGGTTAATTAAGTTTTTTTCTTAATTTCAGGTTGCTTCTCTCCTTGATTAGTTTCCATCCATTGTCCTTCCCTCTGGGGCTTTGGAAAATACGTGGAGACCCTCCTCTTTGTGGCAGCCTCTCTAATACTGAAATATTGCTATCATGTCCCCCCCTAGTACTTCTTTTCTCTAGATTAGCCAAATCCAAATCCTGCAACTGTTTTTCATATGGTCTCCAGACCTTTAGTCATCTTAGTTGCTCTTCTTTGTACTTTTTCCCAAACTCTCAACATCTTTTTTGCAATGTGGTGACCAAAACAGGATGCAGTATTCCACGCGTGGTCCTTTTAAGGCTTTATAAAGCGGTATTATTACTTCACACGTTTTCGATTCTATGCCTCTGTTTATGCAAGCAAGGTGTCAGCGTTCCAAGTATCATGTAGAATTAAATCAGAGTCCAAGGCAAAACGATCCTTAAAGTTCCAATTTAATAAATCAGACATCTTGGTACATCTATGGAATCCCAATTCTGGAAGTTACCTAGGATTCCCACCCAGTTGAAAGTTCATGATCTTGTCCCCACACCCCCAAATCCATAACATGGCCCAATCTTCTTCTTCCACGCTGGCATCTCCACCCAGCTGGTTCCGGTCAGGTGCGGAGACAAAAGATGACCTTGGGCTTCTAGAAAAGAATGACATTCCACAATTCTACTCCTTTCTATTCCCCCCTCCCAACTACTACACTAATGAAACAGCATAATGAAATAAGAGAGAGTGTGGCAGGCCCAAGATCCTAAAAGGGATATAAGTGCAGGCTTGACACAAGGATTGTATTAGCTTTATTGGCTGCTGCCGCACATTGCTAGCTCAATACTCCGGTTTCAGTTGAAATTTTTCAAATTCAAATATGTTTCACAGTTCTAGTCAAAAACTGTACAGAACTGAAGTTTTGCTAGGGACAAAAGCATTCAAAATATGCTAGAAGGTTTGATGGCACATACTTGATTTGTATGTAAAATAGAACATGCAAAAACATGGGTACGAAACAAGCCAAGAACAAAACTTTGCCCAGTATCGTCTTCTAACCAAAACTAAACCAAATAATTAAGTTTCACACTTCACTGTAGGAATTAAATCTGTGCTTAGGCCAGTGTTTCTCAACCTTGGCCACTTGAAGATGTCATCTCCAGAACTTTAAGCTGGCTGGGGAATTCTGGGAATTGAAGTCCACACATTTTATAATAGTTGAGGTAGAGAAACAGTGATTTAAACTACATCACAGCATATTTCACAACTAGAAATTCATTACAGAATCAACCCCCCCCCCAATTCTTAACATAATTAGAATGAAAAAGAAGGAAATAATAATACCTCACCTCCTGGCTACACTGCTACCACTTTACAGTGCTTTTACAGCATATTGCCCCCAACAATTGGGGTCCTCATTTTACCCACCTCGGAAGGATGGAAGGCTAAGTCAACCTTGAGCCTGGTGGGATTCGAACTACCAAATTGCAGGCAGTCGGCAGGCAGCAGAAGTAGCCTGCAGTACTCAATACTCAAGTCTGCAAGGTTATATGTACTTCCTCATATTTATTAACACTTGTGCAAGATTGGGCTGTAAATGTTTACAGATAAAACTGTTCTGATAGAAATCTGGATAGAAAGAAGCTTGTTCCAAAGGAAGGACTGAGAAACAAAAATGATTTTCACATTCCCCCAAATAATTTCTTTACCTTCTGATTTTGCTTAGCGTGAGTTTGATGTAAGGAAATTTTTCTTTAAATGTTTCATTCATATCCTTTTTAAGATCTGAAGGTTTTACATATTCGATCACGGTGGTCTGAAATTAAAAAAAAATGATTTATTTAGAAATTTGTACTGTGAAAGAGAATGTGGGACACCCAAAAATAACAGAACAGAATATAGAATAGAATATAGAATAGAAGAAAATAGAATAGAATAGAATAGGAGAAAATACAGGTGACACTCGAAAAATTAGAATATTGTGCAAAAGTTCATTTATTTCAGTAATGCAACTTAAAAGGTGAAACTAATATATGAGATAGACTCATTTACATGCAAAGCAAGATAGTTCAAGCCGTGATTTGTCATAATTGTGATGATTATGGCTTACAGCTCATGAAAACCCCAAATCCACAATCTCAGAAAATTAGAATATTACATGCAACCAATAAAACAAGGATTGTACATAGAATAATATCGGACCTCTGAAAAGTATAAGCATGCATATGTACTCGGTACTTGGTTTGGGTCCCTTTTGCAGCAATTACTGCCTCAATGCGGTGTGGCATGGAAGTTATCAGCCTGTGGCACTGCTGAGGTGTTACGGAAGACCAGGATGCTTCAATAGCGGCATTCAGCTCTTCTGCATTGTTCGGTCTCATGTCTTTCATCTTTCTCTTGGCAAGGCCCAATAGATTCTCTATGGGGTTCAGGTCAGGTGAGTTTGCTGGCCAATCAAGCACAGTAATCCTGCGGTCATTGAACCAGGTTTTGGTGCTTTTGACATTGTGGGCAGGTGCCAAGTCCTGCTGGAAAATGAAGTCAGCATCCCCATAAAGCTTCTGTGGAAGGAAGCATGAAGTGCTGCAAAATCTCCTGGTAGATGGCTGCATTGACCCTGGACTTAATGAAGCACAGTGCACCAACACCAGCAGATGACATGGCTCCCCAAATCAACACAGACTGTGGAAACTTCACACTGGACTTCAAGCATCTTGCAGTGTGTGCCTCTCCATTCTTCCTCCATACTCTGGGTCCTTGGTTTCCAAATGAGATGCAAAAGTTGCTCTCATCAGAAAAGAGGACTTTGGACCACTGAGCAACAGACCAGGTCTGTTTTTCTTTAGCCCAGGTAAGACGCTTCTGACGTTGTTTGTTGTTCAGGAGTGGCTTGACAAGAGGAATACGGCATTTGAAGCCCATGTCCAGGATCCGTCTGTGTGTGGTGGCTCTTGATGCACTGACTCCAGCCTCAGTCCACTCCTTGTGAAAGTCCCCAACACTTTTGAATGGCCTTTTCCTGACAATCCTCTCCAGGCTGCGGTCATCCCTGCTGCTTGTGCACCTTTTTCTTCCACACTTTTCCCTTCCACATAACTTTCTATTAATGTGCTTTGATACAGCACTTTGGGAACATCCAACTTCTTTTGCAATTACCTTTTGAGGCTTTCCCTCCTTATAGAGGGTGTCAATGATGGTTTTCTGCACAACTGTCAGGTCAGCAGTCTTTCCCATGATTGTGATTCCTACTGAACCAGACTGAGAGATCATTTAAAGACTCAGGAACCCTTTGCAGGTGTTATGACTTAATTAGCTGATCATAGTGAGACACTTTGAGCCTAGAATATTGCACCTTTTCACAATGGACTTGGGGTTTTCATGAGCTATAAGCCATAATCATCACAATTATGACAAATCACGGCTTGAACTATCTTGCTTTGCATGTAATGAGTCTATCTCATATATTAGTTTCACCTTTTAAGTTGCATTACTCAAATAAATGAACTTTTGCCCGATATTCTAATTTTTTGAGTTGCACCTGTAGAATAAGAGAAAATAGAGCCCTTTAGTAGAATGTTAGCTGCAGCTAAAACTGAGCAGTTTCTCCCTAGCTCAGTGTTTTTCAATCTTGGCAGCTTTAAGATGCATGGACTTCAACTCTGGGGAAACACTGTCCTCGCTTATTTTCCATTAGTGTTTGGTTATTTTGCTGATTTCTTTTTCTGTGCTTAATTTTGTAGGCTGCTCGGAATTGTGAGACAGGCAGCTATATAAATTTGCTAAATCAGTCAATGTTTAAGAATAAATCTAACCTCTAGGCAAAAATATAGAACAGTGGGGTCACTGGGGGTCTCCGAGCTTGGTTGTTTTCTTGCAGATGTTTCATTACTGAACTACATGCACTGATGATGTTATCTAGTTGGGTAATTAAATGTCAGTAAGAAAACCACCGAGTTCAGGAAGCACCAAGGAACCCACTGTTAAATCCTTAGCTACAAATATTCTATCAAAAATGTAGAAGGCCCATATATTCTGCACTATGCAGTAGAATTCAATGCTTTGTTTCAGCTGCACCCCATTAAATTGAACTTTGCACCCAAATAACCCTTAGCTGGTGTTTAGTTGTACTAAGTTTGTGCTGTTAAACCACATTGCTCGTCTGAGTCCCGGCATCAGAGTCAAGTCCTCCCCTAACTAGGTCAATAGGGTTATGAGACTAATCCCTTTTAAGACAGAAGGTTTCCAAAGCCTTTTAATAATCATTTAATCCTGCAACCCTTGGCACTTCAAACAGAATGGTGCGTTGAGACTCTTTAGAAAGAGTTCAGAGAAGAGCAATGAAGATAATTAGGGGACTGGAGGCTAAAACATATGACGAACGTTTGCAGGAACTGGGTATGTGTAGTTTAATGAAAAGAAGGACTAGGGGAGACATGATAGCAGTGTTCCAATATCTCAGGGGCTACCACAAAAAAGAGAAAGTCAAACTATTCTCCAAGGCACCTGAGAGTAGAACAAGAAAAAGCAATGGATGGAAACTAATCAAGGAGAGAAGCAACCTAAAACTAAGGAGAAATTTCCTGACAGTTAGAACAATTAATCAGTGGAACAACTTGCTTCCAGAAGTTGTGAATGCTACAACACTGGTGGTTTTAAAGATGTTGGATAACCATTTGTCTGAAGTGGTGTAGGGTTTCCTGCCTAAGCAGGGGGTTGGACTAGAAGACCTCCAAGGTCCTCCCAACTCTTGTTATTCTATGTTCCACGTCTGTGCCAGTCTAGGTTGAGAAGCACAGCTTTAGCAGCAAATACACCGGGTTTAAACACAAGACCGGTAATAACAGGAGGTGCAGAGAAATTGCTCCAGCCTTTAGGAGTTTGCTTAGTAACTGAAACTCAGAAGTTGAATCTGAGCTCATTAGGATCTGGGTCTGCCTGCTAATGGAAGCCAAACCTGCTGGAGAGATCATTAGAAAAGCATTACTGCTCATCACCTGGTGTTTGACGGGCGGCTGTTGAAACTATTCCTGTGTGCCTCAAAGAGGAAAAAAAATGTAGGTTTGTGATAATATCTGCATTGCCCTAGAGGTCTATATAAACTCCATTTATGTCTGTCCTTAGGCCACGGTGCCTGGCATTGCGGTACAATTGGATTAAGTTTGAATACAATTTGAATACTTGATTTACTGTTCGGTTATAAGAGTCCCTATAACCTTTCAGCTGCATATTGATTTTGCAGAGAGATTGTGCGGGCTTTTAGTCGCAGGTGCAGTAAGGAAAAACGAAGCATTCTTAGGAACCCTGAGATAATTCCAGGTTTGTTTCTTTTTTCTCTGACCGTGCTGAGAGCCTCCAGTTCTGGCAGGTTTTTTTTGGAATTATCTAAGCAACATGATTGGCATGATCAGAAGGAGAAACAGTCTAAATCAGTGTTTCTCAACCTTGGCGGCTTTAAGTCCTGTGGACTTCAACTCCTAGAATCCCCCAGCCAGCATAGCTGGCTGGGGAATTCTGGGAGTTGAAGTCCAGACATCTTCAAGTTGCCAAGGTTGAGAAACACTGCCCTAAAAGAAGAATATGGGGTTATATTGATCACAATTCTATCTAGTTTCAAAATCAATATGATCTTGGATCCCAGGATGGTGAAACTGGAACACCAACCCCTGAGTTGGTTAGGAAGACGTGAAAAGAACCGAAAACCACAGGCAGTTCTCAACTTATGACCACAATTCCTGTTGTTAAGCAAGGCATTTGTTAAGTGAATCACGCCTGGTTTTAGGACCTTTTTTTGCCATGGTTGTTAAGCAAATCACTGAAGTTGTTAACTGAATCCGAGTTCTCCATTGCCTTTGCTTGTTGGAAGCGGATTGCCATGACCCTGTCGGAGCCTGAATCTGTGGAGGAGGAGAACTGGAGCTGGGGCCTATGAAGATCAAAGGGGCAGCATCGTTGACTTCGGAGGAATTTGGGCAGAGCAGGACAAGGCAGCCCAGGGGTCCCTCAGGCTTGGGACGGCTTGCCAACAGAGAGAGAGAAAGGGGCAGGACGACAGAGAGCGAGTGGGCCGTGGAAATGAGGAGTGATGGAGTTCAGACCATGAGCAAGGACCACCCCCCTTCTGATCTCCAAGCACGGAGAGTGGAGAGAAGGTTTCGAGTTTCGAGTTTCATTTTATTTATATGCCGCCCTTCTCCCAAAGGACTCAGGGCGGCATACAACATTAAAAAAAGAACACATATCACAAAAGTTAAAAAGAAAATTAGATA